GATAATTGATTATTTTAATATCAAAGCAGCCTATCATGGACAAAAAAATATCCCCGTGACATGCTATATGATAAGTGTCATTCTCTTGAGGTCCAGTATTATCAACAGAAGGAAGTAAATGGCTTGTAAAGCAAACATTTTACAAAATCCACATCACTGGGATTTAAATAGTGGAAGAAAGCATGTGTTTCTCCTTAATTCACTTCCCAAGTAAATCATCCAGCTACAATGTAGTTAATTTATTTCATCACTCAACATTTCAGAGCACAAGAATTGGGGAGTAGTGAAGCAAACTAATCCTACAATCTACAAGGAATTCATTTCTCATCTTTGGTGTTAATGAAGATAATTTAAGAATGAATGAATACTGTGTTCAGTCACAGCACTATGCATTAGATTCAGATGTAACTAAATGTAATGCCAAGTTGATAATCTTATTATCTGGTTTTAGGGGAATAATTTGCTTTTAGCCCCAGTGCCCAGATTTTCAATTTGGCAGCTATTTAAAAAGTATTGGTGCAAATAACTGTCTTCCATACATTGGAACATAAACATCGCAAATTTATCTGGCTATGTTGAAATAAGAGGAATTTATATAGTATGTTTGGGAAATTTATGTTGACAATTATTTTTCATAGATTTTATGACAAATGCATGAAATCCAGTTGCATATACAAACTTTACACATAAGGAAATTATGAAAGGCAAAACAGATCTTTTAAACATAAATTGAAATGTCATTAGATTAGAATATACCACTCTAGTGTAGATCGTAAATCAATAGTTTCAAAATTTTAATTTAGTATTTTTAAAAAATATTTAATTAAATAATAAATAAAAATGCAATGTTATATATAGCTGCAGAAAGTTGGTAAGCACAATTGTTTTCTAATTTATGAACTCCTTATGCTCTCTGAGCTTAGTTGTTTCCTTGCAGATGTTTCATTAGTGGACTAAGTAACATTATCAATGCTCATCTAGGCACTGATAATGTTACCTAGTTGGGTAATGGAATGTTTGAGGACAAATAACCAAATTCAGAGAGTAGCAAGGACTCCATAGTTCAACGCTGAGTATATTCGGTTCCACTGCTTTCTAGTTTCTTTAGTGTTTATGCTCAAGATGTTTTTGTACTGTGAATCAAAGTTCCAAAAACAAAACCTGTGGAATTAAAATAGACCATGATTTTGGCATCTGTTTGTAACATAGTAGTTGTTCATGACATTCAATAAATATATAAAGACAATGCAGCATATTTATTGTTAGGTTCTTGGCAGAGGAAGGAAAATTATTTTCAAGTTTTTTAAAAATATAGCTGTAAAACTTGCCAATCAATGGAATTATTAATCCAATATCACTTGATAATTCTCAGTAAAGTATGAAGTATTAGATTAGATGAGAAAAGTGCAGTTTGATCTGTTACGATATGTAGAATCATTAATTAAATTCAATCACTGTGCTTTTTTGAATCTTCTATTATATTTTACCATATTATATTTTATAAGTCATTTAATGTTTTGTCCAACAGCACACACTAGTGTTGGCACAAGATAAATTCACATGTAGTTCCAGGTGTTTAAATTATGGTTTGCTATTCATGTGTTTTAAAATAACAAGTTTAATACAGACTATAGTTCTGGAATATTTAGTAAACCATGGAAAAAAATCAGTTGAAACAATAATTTAGTTGTTCATTTCTGCTACCACAAATAATATCTGAATATTTTATTTGGTGAAAGACATTACCCTTTCATTTCAAAAATACACAAATAATAACAATCTGAGATTTATTTTTTAAAAAGCTGCCTGCAATTTTCCATTCATATTTATGCATTAGGTATATTGAAAAGTAAGGCTTGAACTACAACCTAGGGACTTAATGGAGGATTTACATTTAATTAATAAATTCTGAGAAAATGATTTCCATTCCTGAGACATACATATAGACGATTTAGAGATGTAAGTATATAACAAGAGTAATAAGGAATTGTGAAAAATATTTTATAAGTAGATGTGATTTTTAAAAAATCCAAATTTGTTAGGATAAAACATGTACAAAATGTCATGAATAAAAATAGCCTGGGAACAGCTAAGTTGTGTAGAAAAAAAATACAAAAGGGAAGAAAACGATTTTGCTACTTGAACTTCTGCTCAAATATTTTTTAAATGGACAAAAAATTGATAGCACGCCACTTTATGAGTCTGTCATTGATTATGTCATCCACCACAGGGATGTTTAAAGGCAGGAAAAAATAAAGATACAAGTACAGATTAGGCGAAACCTGATTCAAAAACAGTAACTCTGAGAGAGATCTTGGAGTTCTAGTGGACGATCACTTAAATATGAGCCAGCAATGTGCTACAGCAGCCAAAAAAGCTAATATAATCCTTAAAAATATAGAATCAAAATCATGCGAACTATTAGTACCACTTTATAAAGCCTTAGAAAGGCCATACCTGGAATGCTGCATCCAGTTTTGGTCACCTCATTGCAAAAAAGATGTTGAGACTTTGGAAACACTGCAAAGAAGAGCAGCTAAGTTGATTAAAGGCCTGGAGGCTAAAACATACGAAGAATGGTTTGCAGGATTTGGATTTGGCTAGTCTAGAGAAAAGA